CCCAATACAAGTAGCAGACATCCACAGATCACTTCATAGCTCTTGCTGGGGTGGCCCTGGGAAGGGCATAGGTAGCGATTGAACTGGGCCTGCACCTCCTAGAAAGCCCCAAAGCCAGCACACCCAGTGGACGGCTTCAGACCATGTTGAACCACCACTACCCAACCTCTTCCACAAGGAACACACTGAAGAGACAGACTCAGCCAACAGGACTCAGAGTCCTGTTGAAGCAAGTCCTGCTCCATTGGGTGATCCTCCACAGTGGTTGCAGCCAGTCCTTGTAGCACAGCTGATCCTCCACAGTGGTCACAGGCCCGGGGCCACTTAGTGAGAGCTACTGAGCATGCTGAGACCAGATGTTGCTCATTTGAGGGATTTTAGGCAAGTCTGAATCATGAGCCAAGTGGTCAATTGACCTGGGGGTAAATCCCTCCCATTGAGGTATCAACACAAATCAAGGATCAACTACAACAGGAAGATATACACAGCCCACACAGGAGGCACACCTCGAGTGCCCAGCTGGGGTGACCGGGGAGGTTGTGCCACTGGACTCTGCAGGACACATACTATATAAGGTCACTGTACCAAGTCTGGGAGATGTAGCAGCTCTACCTAATTCATAGAAACAAACACATGAAGGCTGCCAAAATGAGGAGACAAAGAAACGTGTCCTAAAAGAAAGTACAGAACAAACTCAAGAGAAAGAACTAAACAAAATGGACATAAGCAATCTACTATATGCAGAGTCCAAAACAATGGTTATAAGGATGCTCGATGAACTTAGTGAGAGCTTCAACAGAGAGATAAAGGAAACATAAAAAGAACCAGTCAGAAATGAATACATTACATGAGAATCAACAATGGAGTAGATGAAGCAGAGGACTGAATCAAAGATTTCGAAGAAAGGAAGCAGAAAATGCCTAATCAGAACAGAAAAAAGAGTTAAAAAATGAGGACTGTATAAGAAGCCTCTGAGACGTCAAGTGTACCAATACTTGCATCATGGGATTGTCAATAGGAAGAGAGAGCGAGGAATTAAAAACCTATGTGAAAAAATAGTGATAAAAAACTTTTCTAACCTGGTAAAGGAAATAGACATACAAGCCCAGGAAGCACAGAGAGTTCCCAAAAAGATGAAGCCAAAGAGGCCCATATCAAGACACATACTTAAAATGCCAAAGATTAAGGACAAAGAGAGAACCTTAAGATCAGCGAGAGAAAAGCATTTAGTTGCCTACAAGAGAGCTCCCATAAAACTGTCAACTGATCTCTCAACAGAAACTTTGTGGGCCAGAAGGGATTGGCAACAAATATTCAAAGTGATGAAAAAGAAAGAACCTACAACCAAGGTTACTCTACCCAGCAAAGTTAGCATTTAGAATCAAAGGACAGATAAAGAGCTTCCCAGACAAGAAAAAGCTAAAGGAGATCATAACACCAAACCACTATTAGAAGAAATGTTAAAGGGTGTTCTTTAAGATGGGAGGGGGGTTGGAGGGCTGAGTGAAAAAGGTGAAGGGGTTAAGAAGTACAAATTGGTAGTTACAGAATAGTCACGAGGATGTTAAGTACAGCATAGGGAATATAATCAATAATATTGTAGTAATTATGTATGGTGTCAGATTGATATGAGGTTTATCAGGGTGATAACTTAGTTATATAATGTCTAATCACTGGATCGTACACTGAAACTAACATAATATTGTATATCAACTGCAATTAAAAATAAAAAATTATATTTTTTTAAAAAGTGAAAACAAGGATTCTAATTGGGGCTTTTCTTACTCTGTTATTTGCCAGAGGTTGATCCTGGGTATTTATACAAGTATAACACGAAAAATTCTCCTCAACTTTCCTGTCATTTCTCACCTTTCCCTTCAAAGGAACGCCCTTCTTACCTTCCACTTTACTCCTGGTTCTTTCCCTGACCTCCTAACATGCACACACACACACACAGACACACACACACACACACACACAAACACTCCCATCACAAACAACCTTATGTTGTGACAACAGGTATTACTGCTCTGATGGACCCCACATGAATGAATTCTGTGTCATTCTGCTTACTCCTTCTGTATAAGTCCTTCCAATTTTATGCTAATATTCTCACTTGGAAATCACTACCATGAGCCTGGTATTTTCTGGATCAATTCTTCCCTGCCTTGAGCCTTTAAACCAGACTGTGTTTTGCTTCTGTAATGGCTGTCAGGTGAGTGAAAAGCTGTGTACCTTGGCCATAGTCTAGTTAAAAGAAACGTGGTTCATTCCCACCTGTCATGTTCCACAGCCATCAACAAGACAAGCCATTAGCAACCAGCCGCTGCCACTACAAAGCACATGGAAGTGGCTGAAGATAACAGCTCCCACCCATCATGAACCAGAACAGTCTGAGGCCACAGGAAAGTCTGAAGAAAGTGATAGTTAATGAGATCCTAGAGGACAGCCTTTGCCAACCGGTCTGAAAGGTTGGCGACCACTGGTTTAAGGAAACCTTTGGAGCAGTGGTCACCAACCTGTGGTCCGCGGATGAGGACTGGTGGTCTGTGAGGTCCGAAAGGTTGGCAACCAAGGCTAGAGGAAACCAAGGACCTTTTCTCCATAAGGAAGCCTTCCCTGCCAAGTTCACCCCAGTAACCAGACAGTGCAATTCAGTGGTAAGTAGGTATGTTAGAGGTCAGCTAAAAGAAGAATGCTAACAAAGAGGTTGGCACCAATAGCCTTTGAGAGGTATTACTTTTTGTTTGTTTTAGTCAAAATTTGTAGCTCAGAACTTGAGTGCTCATAAATACAGAACCCTGTATAGGATGGATATAAATGCAGGCGCTGCCAAGAATAGCTAGGCTCCAAAACACACTACTTCAGATCTTCATTTTTAGGTTCAAGGGGAAGCAGCAATTAAAACAGGGTAATAAAAAATCTAAACCCAGAGCTATAAAAAGTCTAAACCCAGAGCTCAATGCAGTATGTACCTTTGAAACTGTTTTATTTCAGAGATAAGTGGCCATTCCATGGTCAAGTTTCTCACTGTTGTGGCCCACACTCCTCAAGGAGGAGAGTCGGCAAGGCCTGGGATGTAGACCCCAGAGATGTGTCCTGTGGGTGGAGAGAAGATGGATGCCTAATCGGGGCCCTGCATTGTGGTGAAGGAATGAGCCAGAGAAGGTAGAACATCAAATTAGATCTGTTGATAAGGACATACTGTTATTATTATTTGAAGCCATACTAGAAATCGGGTCAGGAAGATTGTTTTTTAATTGGTTACCAACATTTGAAAAACAGGGAAATTTCATATAAAAATTTGAGTTTCTAATACCTTCTGAAAAAAAATGGGACCATCTGGGAACGCTGCACCCTTTCCTGTGAGGGGGCCTTGGCAGGAATGGAGTATCGGGCATGACTCTCCTATTCTGCAGGGAACCCATGCAGGCTGCTTTATGTATCTGGGTTACCTGCCTAGCATTTTAATTCAGTCAAATATCAAAGGACTATATGCTCTAATGAGGACAGGTCTTGTCTGATGTTTTTATTCATAGCGTATTTCAACATATATCTAGTACATAGTTCCCAGCAACTGTGCCTGATAGGTACCAGGTGCTCAATATCAAAAAGTTGATGGCATGAACTCTACTAGACCCTCTGTGTACCACATCTCATTTTGTTCTGAAATATTTGCTCCCCACTTCATACATGAGATTCAGAGAATTAGCTAACTGCACTTGTAAAGCTTACCCAGCTAGTATGTGAGTAGAGAATTCAATTCCAAGTTTGACTTTAAAGCAAAGAGTGTGGAAACACAAGTCAGAGTATGGAAAAAAAGCTTCTAGTCCTATATAATAAAAGGCTAATATGCAAATAGACCGAACGGGCGGAACAACTGGTCGCTATGACGGGCACTGACCACCAGGGGGCATGTGCGAAACATGGCGGGTGTTGGCCGTGGTGGGATGGTGGAGCAGGTGAGCAGGGGCGACAGACCAAGGCAGGGTACCAGTCACTGTCATCAAGCCTCTGGTGGTTACTGAAAATTCATTGCTCCTGCATGCTGTGGTCCCGCCCGGTGCTTGCAGCTGCTGCCAGAGCCGGTCCCACTTGTACCCACTGCCAGCAGCAGAGCTGCCACTCGCACCCACTGCTGCCAGTGCCCAGTGCTGGCTCCGATCGCTTGGCACCATCAGCAGATACAAGCGGTGGCTGCCAGCCCTGATGGCCACTGAGGGCTTCTCCACCTGCCCCTGCTCCTGAGGGGCGACTGGGGCAGCAGCTGCAGCTCGCACTCACTGACGGCACCGGCCCCACTTGAACCCACTCACACCCACTGCTGACACCGGCCCCAATCGCTCCATGCCATCAGCGGGTGCGAGCATGGCCGGTGCTGTCGGCACATGGGAGCGGTGGTGGCGGGAGTGGGGCTGCTGGCAGACAGGGAACCGGGGCCATGGTAGGAAGGACTGGGCGGGGGCGCGGAGGATGGGCCAAGACCCGCCCCTGTGCCTACCACAGCCTCTTGGCCCACAGTTCCTTTCAAGGTGCATGTATTCGTGCACCGGGCCTCTAGTTAACACACACAAAAAAAGGCAATAGGCTAATTGCAAACATTCTTTGGTTTCCCAGACAGATTCTGTTTCACACTGTTAAAAAGTACAAATACTCCAAGGTCATTGCTTCCTTCTTCTGCAAACCTCTTAAGAATCTTTCATCAAGAGAGCCAAAATCCACCTTCTAAATCTTCAAATGGGGTTAATTCTGCTACAGGGATCAGAGACCATGCTTCAGTGAGGCAGTTCTGAAGGAAAAGCAATAACTTTAAACATAACCTGCCTTCGATCTGAGATCACAAAAACAGAAAGTCGTAGCAGGAAGTCACTCCACTTAAAGGGAAGCAGGGGTTCTCAGCCACAGGGCAGAGCAGCAGAACACGGCCCCACAGCACACATTCTCTCCTGGCTACACACTAGCAGACAGGGAACTAATAGATCACTGTGGAAGCTACTTACTTGAAAACATGAAAGGTGCTCTCCATTCACACTCTGAAGAGGAATCTGGGGCTCTCCCTGAGGACAGCAGAAGCCTGGTAAAGCTCTGAAACTGTCTTCATCATATTGGGCTGTCCACCTATCAATATATACAGTCAGTGATACCCCAGCAGTAGGGTAAAGACTGCCCACTCTTTTCTCTGGTCCCTTAAGCTATCACAAGACATGGTATGAGATGAATTACCCTTTTATATGTTCATCTCCCAGACCAGACTTCTCAAAAAAAAACAGTGTCTTACTGTTTGAGTCCCACCCTAATGTTTTCTACGGGTTGTACACAGAGTAGGCACGATAATATCTTGCCATCCCCAGGCCATAAGCAGACAGTCAAGGATTATTTTCTGATTTATACATCTGCCTGTGAAAGGTACAAGACCAGTGGTTCTCAACCTTCTGGCTCTTTAAATACAGTTCCTCATGTTATGACCCAACCATAAACTTATTTTCGTTGCTACTTCATAACTGTAATGTTGCTACTGTTATGAATCGTAATGTAAATACCTGATATGCAGGATGGTCTTAGGTGACCCCCAAAGGGGTCGCGACCCATAGGTTGAGAACCGCTGTACTAGACCAAATCACATACACACATACAAACCTACATCTAAGTCACTTGGTGTTAGAATTTATCATAAAAATAATAAACAATCAGTACTCATCTAAGACCCTGGAGCCATGCCCACGACACAGCGCCTGTGAGAGACCGGGCTGCTGCCCATGAAAGGCAGCGCCTAGAACTGGCTCCTTGAGCATTTCCTCAGTCTGAGTGTCACCTGGGAGCCTGGCTCTGTGGTGGCTTCTCAGTCAGTGGGCCCGGAGAGTCTGCATCTCTAACTAGCTCCAAAGTGTGCCCGATGCTGCCAGTTTGGGGACCCCACTTTGAGGAGCAAGGATCTAGGCGCTCCAGAGGGGACCCATAATGCCTTTTGTCCTCTGCAGCCTACAGCATGCTCTCAGGCGCTGAGCTAACCTGCCAGAGGGCAGAACTGAATGTGATGTACTTGAGACCAGAATTCCTGTCAGCCACCTTTTCCTTTTATTCCATTAGACCTCTAAGAGGTAAGAATTAGTACAGGGGAGAACTCTCAAAACAAATCTCAGGCTCCTTTATTAGCACCGCTGCTTAGATGTCATAGTTATGGATACCTGGCCTTCTGTGCCTCCAGGTGCCTAGTAAGGGCCTTATCCTCACTTGAAACAGGGTTCTGTGTGCTCCTCAGCCTCTATCCTCTCCTTCCAGATCACACACTGTCACTTCAAATCTCTTTAGGCTTCTAAATAAGCCAGGCAGGGGGTTCTAATACACAGGGCCATACACTCCTATAGGAATCTGACCACAGCTATGAACACTCTTACCCCAAAACACAGACATCAAAGGTTTCTTTAACATTTCAGAGTTTTCATAGACTGAGTCTGAATCTATGAAAGGAAGCTTGCTCCCTGTCTTTTAGAAGATTTACTTTAAAGACACAGGTTAACACTCAGAGCACTTTATTATTAAAATATGAATCATTTCCAACAAATATTTTATACAAGATGCTTAGTCCCTGCCTCTGGAAACTTACCACAGCTCACATTATAGAGCAAGGCCACAAACGAATAAATCGGAAAATTTCAAACTCACAACCCTGGAAACAATGTGATTGGCGTTGCTCCAGCCCATATTCTCTTAAAAGCATGCAAGAAATCGTGGGACCTGTACTAGTCACCCACAGAAGGGTAGGAGGACGAAGGGGTGGAGGCAAGAAGCAGGAGGGGGAAAACTAATTAAAAAGCAAATGGAGAAAAATTAGCTTGGAAAGGGCTCCCTGAACTGCTGACAGAATAGAGTGCTGAGGTGAAAAACAAATGCAAGAGAGATTTGGCAGAATCTGAAAAGAACATGATCAGAATGGGAAATGAGAACACAGCCAGAACCCAGTTATAAGTCAGAGAAAGAGAAAGAAGCAGGCATAGTGATGTTTCTGGAGATGGAGACAAAAAGTTTCCTGGACAAAGGGGGAGCAATCAGACTGGACTAAAGGAGAGCATCATGCATCACACACACAACCACACACACACACACACACACACACACACACACATTATCAGCCTGTTCCATTCTATCCCATTAATGCCAGAAACGACAAGGCAAACACACCAACTTATGTTCCTTTCATCTGGGCCATTTGTTGTAGAGACAGGTTATTTCACTTGGGTAGGGGGAGTAATGACACAGGAAAGAGACAGAATATGAATGAATGAACCTGAACACATCACTTTGAAACCAGAGCTGTGTTTCTGAAATGAGAGGCTGGTAGAAAACCAGGATTTTATGGATAAGCATAAAGATGTACAGTGTTATCCATTTCT